GCGGGGGTGTCTCGGGGAGCGGGTCAGCTTTGCCGCGGGGCCCGGCCGGCCTCGGCTCGGGGGCGGCCCCTGGGGCGGGCGGGGTCAGTGCGCGTGTGCACGCGTGTGTTCCCGGCCCTGTGCGTACAGCGTGTGTATGGGCGCCCGGGGGTGTGGAGGTGTGCGCTAGCCGGGTGACCAGCTGGTCCCCTGCTGAGTGAAGAGGCCTGTCTTTTCTTTTTTCTTTTTTGAATTAAAATATATTTCTAGAGAGAGTTATAGATATACATTCTTTATCATAAACTTTCCATCACATACCCTAAAACCACATTAAGAAACTTTAATTAAGAAACGCTTCCTGTTACAATAAATTCAGCTACTCCCCTGCACCCCCCCTCACCTACCCAAGTGATGGTCCTGTCGTCCAAACCCCGGTTTGGGGTTTACGGTCTTGGTTCATTCACTGGCCTTGTCGCTGTCACTTCCACTGCTGCTGATCCGGTCGTAGTCCTTCTCGCTGTCTCCAGGTCCAGTTGCATTGCTGTCCTCTGTGGCCCTGCTACCGGCAAACATCCTCCGCCTGCACCCGGGCTTCAGATGTTTGCAAAACCTTTGGTGGGCATCCTACTTACAGGCCCAAGCCCAGAGGCTTGGGGTTCGGATGCCCCTGAGTTTTGCTTGTCCTTAGCCATAAGGCCCTCGGAGCAAGCAAGGGAGGAGATTCCCATTTCCATAAACTGGGTTTAAAGCTGCTGCACCTTGGCAGGTCCTGAGCCACACCAGAAGAGCAGTTCCCCTGCAAAGTGGTTTGGGAAAACTGCCTTCTTGGTCACAGGTACATGGTATGTCCCCTGCCAGGTTAAGGAGCCACTACGTTTGTTCTGAGACTTTGAGGCCAAGAGCAGAGGGGCTTGTCAGCACTGGAGGCTGGTCTGGGAGGGGGCAGTTGAAGGCAGGAGAGAGGAAAGGAAGGACCCAGACTCTGCTGCGCACTGCAGGGACGGGGTGGGGGAGCCAGGAGGCTTGGGCTCTGGACTAAGAATCCCTGGGGCCCGAAGCACCAGCCTGACCCCCCACGAAGGAAAGTAGCTGCTGTGGTTGCCAAACACAAAGCCAGCTCCCGATGGCAGTGGCAGTCCCCCAGCTGCATCGGGGTGCTGCCTGCTGGGACACGGCTGCGCCTGCAGCAGAGCCGTCACAGCGGGAGCTGCCTTGTCGTCCTGTTTCTGAATCGGAGCTTTCAGTCCAGATGGTCACGAAACCCATCTGCCGGGTCCTGGCTGGCAGTAAAGGGCCCGGGTTCAGATTTAGGGGTTTAACACCAAATTTCTCAATCGGGTGGAGCCAGAAGCTTGAGAAAACAAACTGTGGCTGAGGGCTTTAAGGTGAGCAGAGGACCCCACTCGCAAGTGCGTTCAACTACAGCAGAGTGTATGACAGGGGAAGAAGGAACCCTCACACAACCTTAACGACTGCTATAACTATTAAACCCCCAAAACTAGTAAAAATATTACACATTAAACACTAATTGAAATATCAAACAGGCCCTCTACACGAGATGCTGTCTGAAGCTATGGAACTGGCTACCGTGGAAAAGAAATGTAGAAGGTGTTGTATTGGTAACACTTCCAGGCTCTGGCCTTCCATGCACATAGAGAAGGATGAGATGAGATGGAAATAGGTGGGCTCAACCTCAGATGTGAAGAAGCAGCTGTGGCTGATAACCATCTGCTTTGGTCTCTGGGAGAAAGGAGCAAACATTTGTAATGTTCCCTTTACTGCCCCCACAAAGCTCTGAGAAACCAGTCAGTATTTGATGGTCAGTTGGCTTCAAAGGTTGTCAATAATTTTAATAATGTGGGTATTTTATCCTGATTCATCACTAGAAACAGATCACATTCATATCAATAAGGTCCTGGCTCTGTATTCAGGTCTAAATTTAGACAAAGGGGTGGGGGGTGGCTAGATAATCCATGAGCCTTTTCCAATAATTTTTCTTAAAATAGGGACAGCTATAAGATTTCTCTAAACCAAATTATTTTTTGTGTTGGATATGGCAGTTAGAGAGCTCGAACTGTTAAAAGTTTCCGACAGATTATTGTCCACCTTTCCATGGAGGTGAATGCAGGTAATTTCATTTAGTAAAAATGGGATAAACTTGAAATTAAGGAGAAAGAGTTATGCTTAACTGCAGTTTATTTGATAGTAATGACAGCGTTTAACTTGTCCTTTTTAAAAAACTTCATCTTTGGTATTAAAGGAAAATCTCACTCATTTTAATCAGAGTAAACATGAATGACCCAGTTCACTGATACTTTTTCTTTTGGTTTCTAGAGAAAAAATACAAAACGAGTCCCAAGTTTTCGCAAGTTGCTGAAAACTAGTAAAGTCAAACTTGACAACAAGTTAAAGAACAAACAGTTTAAGCAACAGAGCACTGCAAAGAAATATCGAAAAGAGCAAAGGAAGCTAAGACAAGCTGTCCGAGATGTGATCTCCAAAACACCTGCTCCATTGGAGGAACACACGAAAAAACATGCAGGTAATTGTTGGCCTGTTTGTCAGGTAATGAATTTGTCAAAACTTTAGATGCATTCATTATAGATGTGGGGACCAGAGTTACAGAATATTTTCATGCTTCACCCTAATTTGTATATCAAGAAACCAGAGCTAAATCAATAGCATACAGATTTTTCTTTATTCTAGGACTTAAGTTAGTGAGTATGTACACATGTGTTAGTGGGTTTTTTTATTTTTCACAACCAGCTCTTCAATGCAGTGACAAGGGCTACTTGCGTGGTACATAACAAAAACATTTTAATATGCTTTACATATGATATTATGCTTTACTGATTACATCAGAGCCTGTAGCACATACTGCTTGGTAAGGTAGATTGCAGAAAATGGATGAAGTTTGTGTTTCCCACTTTAAAACTAACATGCTTAGATATTGGCATTCTGCACTTTTAAAAAAAATCCCAACTTCTCTGATTTTTCTGTTTTTATACTTCTTTGTGAAGAGTGTCAGCATTGATTCAGGTCACTGTTACCCTTTGGGCCAGTATATTTGCAGTATTATCTTTGAGA